TTGACATACAATAAATTGAACCCTGTTTCTACATAGCAGTCCCTTAGCTACTGGAAGATACATCTTATCTGCTGTCTTTATATTATTGTTGAGTGCTCAGCATGTGCTGGGCACTGTGCTAGGGAACTCACATGATTTCTCACTTAATCCTACAACAGCCCCGTGTATTTATCATCCCAATTTACAGGCTGACTTGGGCAAGTTCTGTACACCTTAGCCAGTGTCCTATGCATAATGTCGAGGACACCTTCTCCTGGGGTGGCCTGGGTACCTCCTCCACCTGCCTGTCATGTGAGGCAAGCACCTGGACCCCTATGAGGACCCCCCGCTGTCCACCCCCCAGGAGGCTGGTGTTGTCCCGGTGAGGGTTTCCCATCTCTTTCTGTTAAATTTCATCTTACTCATTTGGCCTTTGGAACCCAAAAAACATGTGAACAGTTACTTTGTATTGTATGGTACAAATCTAGATTTTTTTAAAAAAGACCAGACCTAATTCCTGCCCAGAAAAGTTAGAAATCTCTTTGGGACAATGTGACATTCACAGCAGAAACACTCGGATGATGCAGGCGGTCCCTCTGTTGGGGAGATCTCTCTCTCTCTCTGTAGAATTCTTGTGTCAGTCATTGTGTATGCCATTGGCCTGACTGTCTTACAGTTGTTTATGTGGAAGTAGTACTTAAGTCCACCATTGCTGCCTAACTTTCATCCAACAGTGCATTTTATCTCAAGAGGACAGAGCATCTCCTTGTACAATGCAATTGTGGTGTGGTGGTTTCCGCATAAGGGGCTCTCTTCCATTGCTGGCTCTTTGGATGGAGGTGTCTCTTGATGGTGGCAGTGATTGATGCTTTGGAGTTTAAAGAAGGGCGGCAGGATCTGAGGAAGGTGGGCCGTGTCTGCCTGTTCGCGTCAGGCCTCCAGCAACCTGACAGCACGCGGCACACAGTGGGGCTTTGTGAAGGAGCGAGTGAGTGTATGTGGTGCACGGGGACGTCGGCGGAGCCTCAGTTAATAGGGAATACTCCGACTCGTGGATCGGAGCCGGTGTCTGTGAGCCTGACTTCATTTGTGTTGGTTTGGTTGTTTTCAAAATAAGTCTCTCACCAACATGTTCCGAGATGTCCAGAGGAAAGAAACCACGAGAAGAAACTATTCTTGTTTTGGAAATACTCTCATCAGATGATGGGATGCGGATAGGATTCCACAGCATCGTCCTGTTGTGTGGTGGCCCGGCAGGTGACTCACGGGCTGACTCAGCTTCTGAAAGCAGAGCCCAGAATGGACCGAAACAGCGCGAGGGCGGCTGTGTTCTGCTGGGAGACTCAAGTGGATGACGCTGTCAACATCGGAGTAGGGGCTGGTGCCACCGAGGAGGGGGTCAGGCACTCGTCCACATCTCCTCTTTTACCACTTAAAGGAAAAGTTCCCAAAATGCTTCGCAGTGGCTGGCTTTCTGGCATTGAGAACAATCATCCATGTCCTTTAAGATGACAGAAAAGAGCACTCGCTGACAGTGTTGTCTCTCACCATCAAGGCTGTATCTTGCTCCTTTCAGAAGCCAGTTGATGAGATTTACATCTTGAGGGGAATGGACATGCCTGTTCTGGAGACAAGTGGGACTGGGCGCGACAGCCTGGATCTTGAATGGCAGTGTTTCCCCTTTCAGATCCACTTCCAGAGCTGGGCATGTCCCCCTTCCTTTCTTTTTGGCTGAAGAAAATTATAGGCAGCACAGTGCTTGTCTTCAGTTCCAAAGTCCAGGCTAGCTGATCTGGGCACACTTAGTATTCGTGGCTCTAATGTTTTGTGGATCGTGGGATCACTGGATGAGATAGGATTGTCCTGTGATTGCTTCCGGGTCCTGTGGCTTTTATTTGACAATGGCTGGTCACGGCTTCTGGCGTTCCTTCCTTTCCTGGCTTCCTGGCCTCTCACTGTTAGGAATCTTGAATGAATAGCCAGCTTCATGTCCCCCTTCCTTTCTTTTTGGCTGAAGAAAATTATAGGCAGCACAGTGCTTGTCTTCAATTCCAAAGTCCAGGCTAGCTGATCTGGGCACACTTAGTATTCGTGGCTCTAATGTTTTGTGGATTGTGGGATCACTGGATGAGATAGGATTGTCCTGTGATTGCTTCCGGGTCCTGTGGCTTTTATTTGACAATGGCTGGTCACGGCTCCTGGCGTTCCTTCCTTTCCTGGCTTCCTGGCCTCTCACTGTTAGGAATCTTGAATGAATAGCCAGCTTGGATTTTGAGCACTGATTCATCGTTCCCTCTAGAGGGCTCCTAAGCTGGGAAAGCGGCCAGTGGGATCAAATTTTCATTTCCTGAAACTTCAACCAAGCCTTACCTGTTGAGATAGCTCAGAGCTGCATGGAAAGCAGGGAAACCAGAGGGATGAGAGTGTGTGGTTAGGCAGGACCTTTGGAAATAATCTTAGGAAGCTGCTGAGTTCTTTCCTGCTTATTAGACAAGAGTGCAGGATGTACTGTGTCAATGTCAACTCTTAGAATCCTCTCTCCTCACAAAGTAGACATAGGAAAGCTACACTAATGCGTGACAATCACATTAGTTTAAAAGCTTAAATGTTATATGTATTTTCAATGGTGAACTCTCCCTCCTATGCATTAGTCAGTTTTCTTTCTTCATACCCAGAAGGTGTTGCCTTTATTTTTAATATTAAAAAAATCTCAAAGCTATCAACATGACCTGATTCTCATATTTTATCTGCACATGAAAAGTAAATAAGTAATCTGGTGTATTTTTATTGAGACCTGTTCGATGCAATTTCCCAAGATTAAAAAGCCATATTCATTTTTATTCATAGCAGGTGGTGGGGTTTTTTTTTTAGTTTAGTTTTCAGACACTAGTTTTGCTTAGGAAATGGAGATGCAGAGGTGTGCGCAGCAGGCTCTGCTGCATCTGAACTTCATGTTGGTGGCTTGCTAGTACGTGCTGCTGTTATTTACATTTGCAGATGAGACGGAGGCATAGGGACATTAACCAACTCGCTCCACATCATAGTGCGTCACTGAGCCTGGGTTTGAATCCAAAGAGTTTAGTCCTGGAGTTCATGGGCTTAACAGCTATGCTGTGCTGACTGCTGGTGTTTGAGCACCTGCTGTTTGTCAGGCACTGTTTTTGACTGGCTGGTACAGGGATCGACCCCAGACCTTGGTGTTATCAGCACCACGCTCTAACCAACTGAGCTGACCGGCTAGCGCAGGTTCTTTACAGATGAAAAATATCCCGACCCTCATCTGGCCAGCTTCAAAGCCCTGAGCCTTCTCCAGGTTCCTGTTTCCTTGTTGGGAGCCTGGTCTTGTGGATGGATGATCTTGAAGACCATTTCTTAAAATATTCTTTGGTTGTTTCAAGCCAAGCGGGGAGAGGTGGAGAAAAGCCTTTCATTTGCTCATGGGGCGGGTGTTAAAGAAAAGATGATTCAATGACACTTGTTAAAGCATGATAAGGAAATCTTTATTCAGGACCACCCTGATAGGTGTGGAGACCCTGTGATGGGATTTTGCATTCGGGGAGAGATTGGGCCCAATTCTGAATACAGCATGGGCAAGGGGGGATTTATAGCCAAGGAGCAGGGTGGTGTTGGTGGATGGAAAACCACTAAGAGGAAACATCAGGGGTGACGGGGATTCTAGCTAAACCTACCTAACAGGATTCCTGCTGAAGACAGGCCAGGGTGTTCAGACATCACCTGGGGGGTGGTGGCAGATGAGGACCCATCTTCGGATGAAGACCAATCAAGTGTTAAGAGTGATCAGATGGGGGTGGGAGATTCTTGCTAAACTAAGCAGGGCTCTTTTCTAAAACTGGATTTTACAAGGAAGGGTACAGATGGCCTAGCAGGTTCAGAAGCCTGATAATGTTTGGCCAAACAAACATCTTTGTCAGTAAAGGATGATGTCAGAGCGCTTTACTACAAAGCATTTCATGCTGACGATATCTCTAGATAGGATGGCTTACTGTTTACAAATGACTACAAAGAAGACGACCCATAGCTTTCTTTTTATTACTGCTAATGTTAGAAATGGTTAAAATGGTTCACTCTGAATTTCTTTTTTTGGATTTGGGGTAGTAAATGGAATAGGTGTAGATGTGTTTTACAGAACTTTTTTGACATATGTATTTATAAAAAAATTGGGAGGTCCCCTATGGCTTAACAAAGTCAGATGTGGCCTATGTCTGGTGTTAAGTTCTAGACCGCCTGCTCGACGGTGGGTGGCTACACACACATGCCTGTGGGTGTTCTGCGGGAGAGGGTATCTGAACACCTGCTTCTCTTGGTGCCTGGCACCATGGGGTGCCCCCTCTGCACCCTCTCATTGAATTTCAACCTTACAAAATAGGTGGATTTCTATGTCAGTTCTCCAGATGAGGAGCCTGAGATTTCAGCGAGGTTTAGTTACTTGCCCAGTGATACCTCCTGGAAGTGGACTGACAGTTTTTGTCCCCAGGGCTTTGCTTCCCGGGATACCATTAATCTCTAATGAACTTGACAGGTTTAGAAGTGACTTTGTAGAAGTTCTTCCATGTTTTTATCCCATGATTCTCCCTTTGGTAGGTGTAACATAAGAGGAAATCACAGCCTCCTGGGAGAGCCGTGCTAAGTGCAGCAGGACTGCTGGGCTCAGAGGGAGCTTCCTGGTGTCTGAGTCTTGGGGCCCGTCCCTCCTTCCTTCTGGTCAGGCTGTCCTGGCCACAGTACTTACAATTGTACCGCACCCCCTCCAACAGAGGCAAGTCCAGATCCCAGATGCTGGACTTGAACGCTTCTGGGGTTAGCTCTAAGACGCGAGCGAGTCCCAAACTCCCTAAGTCTAGAGAGGTGCGGGCCAAAGGTTAATGGGCAAAACTGCTGTTTGTTCTGGTGTGAGGTAACTTTCACCTAGAAAGTGTTCTAGTTCTTTCTAGATTTATCTTCTCAAATCTAACTGGTATGGAAATATTACAGTCTTGTAATTCTTTCTTCTAGGTCATTGTGAAAGTTCCAAATACCTGCTATTACTCGATGCTGTTGATAAAATCAGGATGGCTTTAAACTCAGTAAGTGGTTAATTATTACCTTCCTGGCCTCTTCGTTCCCTTATTCCTTCTGCTATTCCCAACAGTGTGCGTTGGTCAGCATTGAGCTGTTCGTTTGAGGCATTCTCTAGAAGGAGTGGGTCAGGGGTGTAGCCACACAGCTGTTGTGCGGATGGGTCTCGAAAGCCATTGGTGCTGGGGAGCAGTGGGGAGATGTGTGTTCTCACCTGGACCTCCTCCCTTCCTGCTTTGAGGGTGGGGCTGGGGTTGGGGGAGGAGGGGGGTGAGGCAGGGTGCTGGCAAAAGGGAGTATAGTCCCAGGGAGCAGGGCTTGTGTGGGATGCCCAGCTTGCTGATAAACTGGGAAAACTAATTGCATGAGGTGCTGGGGAGCCGTCCCTCTCCCTGGAGCCCACCCACTTTGGAGACAAATGCAGTTGTCTTTGTTCTCCATGATATCTGACCAATTCTTCTTGTACCTGAAAGCAGTGCATTTAGTAAAGAGCATATGGTTAGTAAAAAAATGTTCTACATTCTATATCTGGAAAACATACCTTTGTTTTGCCCTTTATTTGTTACTGACATTTATTTTTTACTGGGTCTGTTTTTAATTTCAAACCCACTGCACAGGAATTCTCAGGGACAAACTACTTCATCTGCTGTGCCTTTCTGGGTGGGACCAGCATGTTCTTAGATGGTTTAGATTTAGGGCAGACACACGTGCTGGTTTTTGTGCCTCTGGTACCCTCGTTTAGATTAGAGATTACCCTTCATTTTCCCTCTGTCTCCTGCTCTGGTTTAGAGTTACAATCCTGGGACTTTTGAAGGCTGGCATTAGTGACTTAGTGAGCTGTTAAGTGTGGGAGCTGACATTCAGCTCCGTCCTTTACAATCACGCTTCCCCGGAGGCCTCAATTAAAGTTCCAAACACAAATTTGCCTCTGCTCACAACACCTGTCCTCTGAGGACAACCCCTCTGTTGTCTCTGAGGTCAACAAGAGACAAGGGGCAGAAGTTGGTGAGTGGGAAAATGTTTTGCATGGGGACCCCTAGATACAGATAAGGGGACAAATGTGGCCTCCAGAGCAGCCCAGCCAACAGGCTGTGGAGAGTTGAAAGAGGGGAGTGCAGGCTGGTGGGGTCCAGAGCGGCCTGTTGGGGGTGGGCCCGAGAGGGCAGGCCTTGAGAAAGCAATTCTAAGTGGGCCCAGGGAGAGAAGAAGGGCATTCTAGGAAGACAGACCCCAGCCAAGGGATGGGATTGAGAACAAAAGGCTGTGGCTGGGGCAGTTCCTTTCACAGGTATATCTGTGTGTACTTTGGCCTAGAAATTCTACTTATGGGGACATAATTACAGATATGCATGCCCTCTGCACAAAAATTCATGGGCTGTAAAAGGGTGTTTATTGCAGCGGAACCAGTCACAGCCCTACATTGTTAACCACTTAGCGGTCCATTAATAAGAGATGGTGAGTGAATGATTACACAGCTCTGTAAGAGAAGAGGACACAGGAGAGGAATTGGCAGAATAACCTGTGGAGTAGGCTCCTTTAGGCAGATTTCTTAACTCAGTTTCTTCTCCGCAAAGTGAGTATATTAATCGTACTTGTACCAGTCCCAGGGGGTTATAGTCAGGTTTCAAGGAGACTAAGAATAAAGAGGTCTGGCAGCAGGTGAATTCTCAGAACATTAGCTATTATTATTCTTACTATGATCCTGGTATCACTAGTCCATAATTTTGCATCTCAATTCTCAAGGAGAGGCCTGGAGGAATTAAAGGTATTGGATATTGGCTCAGTGGGTTCTAATCCCAGACTTCCATACATTTTTCTTTATTTGTTTTTTACTAAATCCCAATGTCAGCCACTTTCTTTATTTCAAAGAATAAATAGTGAAAAACAAAACAAAACAAAAAACATTGACAGTTGAAAATCCAGGTTAGGCTTTATTCTAGGTAAGTTCAGTGTTTGACATAATTATAGACACCTTAGAAGACTCCGTAGTATCCTTTCAATGTGATGTTGGGATGTAATGTGGCATTATATATTTAACCCTTCAGGGTGAGAGTTTTATGTTATCCGTCTTCTTTTCCATTGTTCAGGGGTCACCACCAAGTGTTGGACCTTACTATGAAAACCATGGATACCAACCGGAAAACCTCCATCCCCAGCAACCCGCGGTTGCTCCCAATGCCTACGGAATGTACCCGGCTCAGTACTACCCGTCCCCGGTGCCTCAGTACACTCCGAGCGTCCCAACGTACTCTTCGACACCCGTCACCCACACGCAGCCCAGAGCCCCATCAGGGAGATTATGCACCTCAAGTAGGATCCTTTTTGCATTTATTTTCTACAACGAACCCATTTCTGGGTCTGCCTTCTCTAGTGGGCTCTCGCTCCCACCAGCTCTGGGGCCAGCGCTCCTACTCTGATCCTAGTCTGCTCCTGCTCCTGAATCTGCAGGGCCAGCTGCCTCCCCATGCTTGTCCCCTCCTGCCCAGGGCCTTGCGGGGCCTCCAGGCCACAAAGACCTTCCTCTTCCTGTAACTCTCCTGTGCAGCTCTGCCTGTACCGCTCAGCGTGGTCTTTCACAGCAGCATCTCTGTGTCGTGTCTTGCCTCCATGACTTAGTGCTGCACGCTCCTACTCTGATCCTAGTCTGCTCCTGCTCCTGAATCTGCAGGGCCAGCTGCCTCCCCACGCTTGTCCCCTCCTGCCCAGGGCCTTGCGGGGCCTCCAGGCCACAAAGACCTTCCTCTTCCTGTAACTCTCCTGTGCAGCTCTCCCTGTACCGCTCAGCGTGGTCTTTCACAGCAGCATCTCTGTGTCGTGTCTTGCCTCCATGACTTAGTGCTGCATCCTCTTGAATAAATGGTAAGCTCCCAGGGACAGGAATAAGCCACCTTACCTGTCTGTGTCATACAGTCCCCGGAAAACAGCAGGTCATGTGTAAGATGCTCCATTCCTCTGTGAATGACATGGCTGTAGCACAAAAGTCCCTGCGACATCTCACTTGGCTTTACATCCCTGTAAAGTAGATAGCCTGAGCGGAGCGTAAAGTGATGGTGACTGAATGTTGAATTTCCTTGGCTTTCGCTTGTACCCTATATCTTTCATACCCTCTCTTTCATCTCCTTTTCTTGCCATTTCATTTTGTCTGTCTTGTGTCTCTGCAGACCCCTCCCTCTTACACCTGCTCCTGGCTTTTAATCTGCACTAGTTTCAAAGATAGGGTAGCCAGGTGGAAGTGGTACAGCAGTGGCTAAACCCAATGAACTCTTTAAGGGAAGATGTTTTTATTTTGTGAAATATGCATACATGTCTGTACAACTTGTACCACTAAAGATTAATAATAAGTCAACTTCCATGTGCCCACCATCACATAATCGGTAACTGAAGTGGTTGGCACCAGTGCTACATGAAGCCCTGTGTGCCCCTCCCCAGACCTCTCTACCGGAGGCTCCTGACAAGGGTGGTACTCTTGATTTTCCCCTGCGACTCCCTCCCTCTCCCTTCATAAGTGTTTCTTCCGTCCCCCTCCTTTCTTCTGTTGTGAGGCACCCTCCCACAAGATATGCACTTATACGCCACTCGTGCACAAAAGGGCAGTTTATTCACTCCAGCTGGCCAGCGACTGTCTCCCAAGGAGCAACCAAGGAAGAGCAGCATTGGGCCTTGGTCTTGTGGGGTTTTTAAAAGCAAAAACTACAGCCCGTTGGCACACGGGTTTGTCCAGGTGTGCAAAGCAAGCTAGGGAGCTAGGTCACAGAGGCCGAGAATGAGCCGTTCGAGCAGTCAAGCATACAAGTTTTCACTGTGTATGGTTCCTGTTCCCATGTAATAATTCACTGTGTATGGCTCCTGTTTCTATTCGATGGTTTTTTTTCTATGAGAAGGTCAACTGTTTCTCCTGCAGAAGGGGGTGGGGGTAGTCTGCAGGTCAGACAGGGGGCAAAATGGAGTTACTTAGGTTAAGCCAGCAATTCTACAGAAGCAGATAGCATATGTTATGAGGGTGTAGGGAGCTCTATTTCACTTCCACCTCCACTCTCTCCATCCCTGCGTTGTCTCTCTCATCGTGATTCCTCCTTCACCGTCCCTCTCTTCTTTTCTTTTTCTCTCTCCTTCCCTCCATTCAGTGTTCCTCTGCCCAAGGAAATATTTGTATTTGCACTGACGTCTTTCTGGTGGTGGTTGGGTGGGTTGAGACCAGCGGTTCTCAACTGGGGTGATTTTGACCCCCAGGGACATTTGGTAGTGTCTGGAGACATTTTGGGTTGTTAAAGTGCGGAGGGGTATACTACTGGCATCTCCTGGGCAGGAGCCGGGGATGCTGCTAAATATCCTACAGTGCACAAGGCAGCCCCACAACAAAGCATTGTCCAGCCAGCATGTCCGTAGAGCTGAGGTTGAAAACTCCTCCTGGTCTTCGTCCACGAGGGTGGTTGGAGGGAAGCCATGGAGAAGATGCTTATGGAACCCCGAGAGTGTCAGCTGCCTCCCGAGAAATGACAGCAGTCAGAAACCAGGGGTCCTTTCTTGAGGTTAGTACCTTCAAAAGGTGCTACTCCCACTGGTGGTGGTGAAACTCAGAGGGCCAAAGAACCCCCGACTGACATGCTTCCACTTTACGTGACGAGAGACAGTTGGACAGGATATGTTAGTTCCTTATCAATTGCTTTTATAAGGGAAGAATTTAAGCCTACATGTATGATTTTGCATCATACTTGTAACACTGTGCCCCATAAACTAAAAAATAATTTAGTAATTTTATTGTACTTACCTGGGTATTTTTAAAAATGTGTTATTGGTGTATAGTAAATAGAAAAGTATACATTTCGTAAGTGTAATGATTGGTTGAAATTATTTTGCAAGTTATTGAAATAGCACAAGTTCAGAAGTATCCCATCAGGAGCATAACTTGATGTATCTGTTTGCTTAGCAACAGCAGTGGAAGTTTTATATTTGAGTGGCCTCATACACATCCTAAAGCTCAGGCTTTGGAGAATTGAAGGTCAACGATGCTGTGCAGAGTTGACACTCGAAACTCTAAGGCTGAGTCAACAACAGACTAAATTGATAGTGATTGAGGTAAATGAATAGTAAGTGGTAATTAAACTCAGCACAAAATGCGTATCCAGCGAGGGTGAGACTGGGGCTTCCTGCTACGCACCTGCTCCTAGTGAGAGCGGGCGATGCCACCCACTCAGAGTGAGGTTAAGGGTATCAATTAAATAACCTTTAACTAGCCAGGCATGTGATTTTACCTTAGATAAAATGGCTTGCAGGGAACTCATCTAAGGAGGAAAGTTTCCTTGGTAATGGGTCAAAGAGTCCATTTGGAATTTCCCCTGTGAACTTCCTCAGGGGCTCCACCCTGCGCCCTAAGGCACGGTCACTGAGCCGGTTGTGATAACATTGTGTGCTTGGGCTTGGTTCTCCAACCAGTGGCCTTGGCCTCCTGTGAGTCTGTTAGAAATGCAAATTCATGCCCAACCCCTCCCCTCCCCCCCACTGAATCAGAATCTTGAGTGATGGGGAACAGGTTACCTGGGGAATTCTTTTTTTTTTAAAGTTTATTTATTTATTATTATTATTTACATTCAATGATGTTGTTGTGGAGCAGTTGGGGCGGGGAGAGGGGAAAGGGGAAGGAAATAGGGTGGGAGAAGAAGGAAGGAGGACGGATGGGATTGAGGCTTATGCCGCCCCACTCATACCCACAGGGTAGACCAGGGGGCTTCCAGCAGTGGCTCATCATTGCTGGGCTGGGTGCAGATGTCAGGGGGGTATGGCCGAAGCCGTCGCCCACCACAACCCCAGCTCCAGAGCCATGGGCGCTTCTTGTGCTGCTCAATGGTCATCGCTGGGCTGGTTGGGGCGGGGGGCGTGGCCGAGGCCTAAGGGTCCCCTTTGCCCGAGAGAGTCAGGAGGCTTCCTGCAGCAGCTCGGTGGTCCTTCCTGAGCTGGTTGCCCCGGGGAATTCTTAAGCCTGTTGCAGTTGTAGAATTAGCAGAAAGCAATAACAGAATGAGAGGCGTGGCTTTGAGCCTGGAGCAGCCGGCTCAGCTCTGTCCCCTCCAGCTCCCTGCAGAAGCTGAATTTCTTGCCCTGGCGGCTGCCCAAAGCACAGGTGTGCACAGGTGGCGGCAGCAGGCCGTCCGGTCTGTGTGAGTGCCTTCTCCCTGCTCTCTCCAGCCCGAAGCCGCACTGTGTGTAGGGATTGCGGGGTGCGAGGGTCGCTTTCCTGGGCCTGTGAGTGGGCCGAGCCCAATGTCACAGGCCAGATGTCTCACCCCGAGGTGCCTTCTGTGGCTTTGAAGCAACTTTTGCTTCACACTCTCTGGCTAGCAACGTCATGTCTGTTTTAACTAGAGAAAATTGGTGACCTTTTCCAAATTCTTTTATTCTTTTTTTTCCTCCCAAATTCCTTTTTCTCTTAGCAGAAATGTGCCTTTACTCTTAGTCCAGTGTTTTTGCCCTTGGACCAAAGGGCCCGTGCCGGCGCTCTCCCTTAGAGATTTCGGCAGTGATGGGAATGTTTTGCAACTGTACCGTCCAATACAGTGGCTGTGGCTGCTGGCCGCATGTGACTACTGAGCACTTGAATTTACCCAATTTTACTTAATTCTATTTAACTTTAATTAAAGTGCAAATAACCATCTGTGGCTAGTGGCTGTGGAATGGGACAACGCGGATTGTTGATAGCATTTGTTTGCTGACAGACCTGGGTAAGACGATTTACTCTTCTGCCTTGAGGACCACCGACAGGGTGGTGATAGTTTTGGGGACATTATTATTATTTTACTTATGCTTGTAATTACCCCAGCGAGATACTGTTTATCTCGTAGCCAATTTTTTTAGATTAATCATTCGCCTGTTTTAAGGCCCTTTTTAGCATACCATACTTCTTTTCCAGGAGCTTAACTTTGGTGTACTTTGCTTCAGATCATGGCTTTCTACTTCTACAAAAAGTATAAAGTTTGGTGCTACAGAAGAAGTCAGGCTTCCCAGGACACGTTTTTAAAATTAAAAGTCAGGTTTTCAAGTGTCTGAGAAGTAATTATTTTTTATACAGCATACTATAAAAATAGTGGATAAGATCTGAGAGTGTGGTGTGTGCACAACTCTGACGTGAATGTCACACTTTCCTCTTTGTGCAGGAGCCAAGAAGTCACTGTGCATCGCCTTCGCCGTGGGGGCTGTCCTCGCTGCGGGCGCGCTGGCCGCTGGCCTGCTCTGGAAGTTCAGTAAGTGCGGGAGTGCCTGCAGTCCCCACGTGCTGAGTGCGATGCTGCACTCTGGGCTGGGGAGACCTGCGGCCCTTCCTGGAGTCTCTTCCAATGCAAGGTGGCTGTTTTCTCTGGTGTGGCTGAACAACCGTTCCTGAGAACAGCCAATCTCATTGTCTGGGTTGTTCTGTGTCACTTGTGTGCTTCCTCCTGACCTGTGGGGTGTCAGAAGCCCATGCTGTTTCTGTGTATTGACACACATAGCAGAAGTTTTTAGAATTTACCCAGTGCTGTGGGGTGCTAGGTGCCACCCGGCCCTGTGAGCACAGGTTCCCCACGTTGGGCCCACACAGGTCACCTGTATGTCTTTGTACAGCAGTGGCTGCTGAGGGCCAGGCCTGCTCTCCTGTGCCGCCTCCGGTTGTCGCAGCTCCTGCCTTTTCCATTAGCCTGGGGCAGCGCAGGCTCATGGACATGAGTAGGTGACTGCGGTCACCTGTGCAGGACGTGCTTGTGCCGTCCACATCCTAACACTGAGAGGGTCCTTCCCACTGGCCTCAACCCTGGTTCCTAATGTCCCCAGCTCTAATTCCACTTGCATCTGTGGGTGGCAAGGATGTAGCCCTCTTTATTAAAAAAAGGAAGGGGTCATTTCCTCTTGTTTGTGGGGCCCCCATGGTTTCCCAGCCTGACGGCATCTCCCTCTGTTTCCTCCGCAAGTGGAGAACGAGTGCTCGGTGTCCGGCATGGAGTGCGGCTCCTCGGGGACCTGCGTCAGCTCAGCTTACTGGTGTGATGGGATTTCTCAGTGCCCCAGCGGGGAGGACGAGGACCAGTGCGGTGAGTGCCCCTCCTGTTGAACCGGTGCAGCTAGCAGACTGCCCTGCTCAGGCAGCGCCGGGCTCCTCAAGTTCACCCTGAAGACAGCGGCCGGGCTCAGGGTGACTGTGCTGGGCCCATGTCCAGCATCGCCTTCCGTCACTGAGCGCCTGCCTTGGGCTGAGCCCTGGGGCTCAGAGGGGCTGTGCTCCTGGCCAGGCATCACACAGATGGTGGGAGGGAGGTGACAGGACCAGCGGGCACTGCGGCCCTCGGACGCGTGTGCTCCCAGTGGGCACAGGACATCAATTAAAATGAGCACACTGTTTACAGCATAAGGTTGGGGATGCACTCTGTTATTTCCAAAACAAGCTGCCTTTCAAGTTGTATCTATTGTCACAGAGTAGGCACGTCTGCTTTTCTTTCGTGCTTTCTTTCCTTATTTTGATTGACAAGTAAAAATCATATATATTTATGGTGTACAACATGAGCTTTTGACATATGTATACTGTGGAATGGCTGGGTCAGGCTATTAGCATATGCAGTAGTACCTCACGTACTAATTCTGTGGTAAGAACACTTACAATCTACTCTCTCAGCACTTTACAGCTGTATAATACATTGTTACTAACTGCGGTCACTGAGACGTACAGTAGATCTCTCGGACTCACTCCTCCTGTCTAACTGAAGTTTTGTGGCCTTTGACCCACATCTCCCCTACCCCCCACCCCATCCCCTGGTAACCACTGTTCTACTCTGTTCCTGTGAGTTTGACTTTTTTACACTCCTTGTGTAAGTGAGATCACACGGTCTGAAGAGTTTTCCTCTGTATCGATGGAGCACATTTTCTTTATCCCTCCATCCATGGATGGGCACTTAGGTTGTTTCCATCTCTTGGCTATTGTGAATAGAGCTGCAGTGAACATGAGGGTGCACGTGTCTCTTTGACATAATGAGTTGGATATGTGTACCCAGTAGTGGAACTTCTGGGTCATATGGATCATTAACTATTTTTAGTTGTCTGAGGACCTCCGTGCTGTTTCCCATCATGGCTGTACTAATCTACATTAGTGCGAGGACTCCCCCCTTCTCCACATCTTCACCAACACCGTTATCTCATGTCTTTTTGATAATGGCCATTCTAACAGGTGCCGGGTGATATCTCATTGCAGTTTTAATTTGATTTTTCATTTCTATTCTCTGTTAATTTTAGAAGGCTGGAACAGGAAACATGGTGCTGGAGTATGGGAGCTGGGCTAGGAATGCTCACCCCAGTCAGCAGCCCACTGCGTCCTTGCCCGGGAGCTGCTGTCTTTCCTGTAGTCTGGTGCGGTGGGCAGTGACGCAGCTGCGGGTTTCTGGGTGTTTGTTCTGAGTTGCACGGAGGTTGTTGGTGAGACTGGAGGAACGGTCTTCTTCCAGCTCTGTGTGTAACGGGGCTCTACGGTCGGCGGAGGCTGGCTCATTTCTCCCTAAGAGTCGCCTCTTCCCATTTCCCCCTCCCCTAGAATGTCCTATTTCCCAGCCATCATGGTGTATTCTAGGACTGGGGACACGGTGACAGTGGTGTGCATACTCACATTTTAGTTCCCGCTGAGCAAACTCTGACATCTTTGCACTAGGAACTTTTTTTTTTTTAATAGAAATTTAAGAATTGCAGTCAGAGGAACCACCAGAAATCTCTTAGCCAGCTTTCTCCTTCTCTCAAGTATACTTCTGACCCCTTGGGGTTTTATTTGAAAACCATAAACCTCTGAGCTGGCTGAGAATGCTAGAAAAAAATACTTTGCCACTTTGTGACACTTTGCCACTTTGTGACACTTTGCCACTTTGTAGTAATCTTTCTTCTCCTACGTGTTGTCCTTGGTGAGGACTGGTTTCCTGTCATGTCCACACTTCCAGGTCAAGACCCTCGTGTAAGATGGGGTGTGGGTCTTCACTTGTAGAATTTCCCAGTGAGGAGGACTGGATCCCCCCGGATCCCGGCCGTGTGCCCACCTTTAGTGGATGCGTATTCTGTGTGCTTGACGTCTCTGTTCTGTGTCCTGCGAGCTCCCACGCATGCTCCCACCTAGGAGAGTATTTGCCATGGGAAATGACCCAGGCGCTGTTTAAACAGTTCCTTTGCTTTGTTTTGGCAAGAATTTATTGTTACCATTTTCTTAAATAAAGTAGGGAGCTTTCGAGGTTGAGTAGAGTGTAGTTAACGTGCCACATGGAACGGCTTCTGGTGTTTTCCTGCCCCTGTGTGGGTGGATAAACCCCAGCGAGGGGTCCTAACAAACTCCCATGTTACCTGGAGAGCCTCTCTCCTCCTGATGTTTAAGTCTTATTTATTTAACTACTTTGACAGTTAATACACAGAAATAGATCCTAATCCAGGAAATACAAAAGGGTATGGAGTAAAAACATCTCATCTTCCCTGTTCTTCTTACACACACACACACACACACACGTGCCACACACACCACACACACCACACACACACCACACACACACACCACACACATTCCACACATACATGTCACACACCACACCACACATAGCACACACACCATATACATGCCACACACACACCACACACACCAAACACACGCCACACACATACCACACACACGCCACACACCATACCACACATCAGACACACACTACACCACACACACAGCACACACACATGCCACATGCACACATAAGTGCCCCCCACACAGCAATACACACCACACACACACATGCCACATACATACCACATACACACCAAAACGTCACACATATACACACCACAACGTCACACACATACACACACACACAGATGCCCACAGGGTCACTAGTCAATCATTTCTTTCTCAGGGACAACTAGTGTGAGTTGCTTCTTCCAAACAGTTTTTGCATAAAAAAGTAAATACGGGTGTGCATTCTTAACCCCCCATTCTTCTTTTTTTTTTCAGATAGCAAAACATCACCTTTATTACTGAGGGAGTCTGGGTTGGGATGGAGCTTTTAATTCTGCAAAATGGGCTTCCTACAACTACAGCCCAGAGCTGAACAGACTTGCCCTGCTGTTCACAGGCCCACATGGGGTGAAGAGAGGAAGCTCTGCTCCGTGTGGGGACAGGGAGTGAGATGAGCCCAGCGTGGCCAGTTTACCCAAACGTCCCTGTCAGAGAAATCGTTCTGATGCCAGAGGAAGGGTTTGGGAACCCAACAGTCGGCCTCGACCTACCCTGTCCTCTTACCAGGTTCTTGACTCCTCCACAGGAAAGAATTCAAGAACAGAGTCACAATAGAGAGTGAGAACAGGTTTAATGTAACGAATAAGAGATACAGACTTCACAGAGAGAGCGCAGCCTAGCTCCAGAGACTGAGAAGGGCCCCCACCACATTAACTCAAAAGTTAAGAAAAACACACTTAAAGTTCAGTACAGAGTGCAGGCTGGCTCGAGAGAGTGAGCAGCTGCTGCTGAAAGTAAACTTAACACAAGAGTAAAGCACACACACCACAGCCGGTGAAGTGCGGCTGGCCCCAGGAGAGTGAGCCCCAGCCCCGCCTTCTGCCAGGATTCCACGTTTACAGCTTCACTATCTAATACATATTCATACTGTCTAATGAATATTCAACCAGGGGGTGGTTCCCTGTTGTGTAACTCAGTCTTGCACATGCTCAGTTGGTCTTTTTTAAGGGCATCTTCATTGGTCAAATCTTATCACACACACCAGCCATACAAGAATATTCTGTGCTCTTTAGAATCTCTAGTGGGAAGGTCATTCAGTGAATAAACTCCCTTCCACTGAGCATGCTCAGTCTCTGGGGACATCTAAGACTGTGTAAACTTCTTTTACTGAGCATGCCCAGCCTGCACTCTGTTCTGAACCTTAAGTGAACTGGATTTGCATAAGCCAGTCCCTTGTAGTCTCAATTTCCTTGTGTTGGTGCCCAAAATAGGTCTAAGAAAATAGGTCTAACAAGCAACAGTAACTCTCCTCTAGGGGAGGGCCCAAGACCTTGGGGAATGGCTTGAAACTTAGCGGTGTGTCCTATAACCCAAAACCTGGGAAACTGAGCACCTCCTATCTCAGTTCTACCTGTCATCCCCACCCCCCATCTCCCACCCATCCTGGCCAGGAAGTGAGGAAGGGAACAGCAAGAGTCCAGGAGTGTTGCAGCATTGGATTCGCTCTGCACTGATGGAAGTGTCTGGAGCTGCTTAGCACCCCCGTTTCACAGTGGTTACTAACCAGGTGCCTCTTTAACACTAGATAACATATGGAAATAGTTTCCTATGGGGACATGAGCTCCTCTTCCTTGTCCCGTTGCTGCTCAGTTAGTGTCCTCTGTATGGATTCATCATTACTCAGCCAGTCTCTTCTTGGTGGGCATTTAGGTTCTTTCTGCCTTTTGCTCCGAGCGTGTGAGCATATTGGTAAAAAAAAAACCTTCCTAGAATTAAAATTGCTGGGTCAGAGGGTTTGTGTATTTGTAATTTGATAGATGCTCCTCAATTTGGTTTTATCTAATTTCCATATGGATTATTCATATAGAATGAGACAGATGAACGTGACATTGTGTGTTCTTTTATATTAGACCAGAACATGCATGCGATATGCTTTTAATTTGTCCACCTTGTAGAGTGGAAATTGTTTTCAATGAAATGCATACCTTCCGAGGCTGAAGAATATAATCTGTCCCATGGAAAACATCCAAACATTGAATGTGTGCAGAGCTTTCTTCCTACGGGTGTGTGTGTGTGTGTGTGTGTGTGTGTGTGTGTGTGTGTGTGTGTATGTCAACAGTAATATACTTTCTACTTCTATTGCTATCCTTTCTCTGAGTCTTTCTCAAAAACTCAGCAGAGAAACTAAGGAACTGCTTGCGGTGATAACAGTTAACAATACTGTACTGTATACTTGAAATTTGCTAAGAGGGTAGATCTTAAGTTTCTCACCACAAAAGAAAAGAAAAGGTAGCTGTGTGAGGTGATGGGTGTGCTAATTAGCTTGGTTGTGGTGATCATTTCACAATGGATACGTGTATCAAACCATCATGTTGTACACCTTAAGTAGATACAATTTTTATTTGTCAATTGTACCTTGATAAAGTGGAAAAAATTCTAGTGCCTCAAAAAATGCTTGAAACCGTCTGCAGCTCTCTGGCTCATCAACTGTTACCTCTCCCTAGTCAGCATTTGAATGCAGACAGTCGAAAAGAAAAAAAAAACCCTAAAATTATCCACTAACCAAGACTGAATCGTCTCCCTTACTCTCCACCACACCACAGTGGCAGTTTTATTTTGAATTGTGGAAATATATTTAATTTCAGTTACTTTAAAAAAATTTAATAGACTTTATTTTTTAGAGCCGTTTTTAGGTTTATAGAAAATTGGGCAGATAGCACAGAGGGTTACATATCCTGTCTCCTACACACGGTCTCCCCTTATTAACATCTCATATGAGTGTGGTGCATTCATTACGTCTATTGGATACATTATTAACTACAGTCCTCAGTTTACATTAGAATTTAGTTTTTCTGTTGTACAGTTTGCTGGGTTTTGACAAATGTGTAATGCCACGTACCTGCCATTACAGTAGTGTCCAGAATAGATCTACTGCCCTGAGAGCTCTGTGCTCTGCCATTTTCTCTCTTCACGCTAACCCCTGGCAAACACTGATATTTTTACTGTCTCCATAGCTCTGTGTTTCCCAGAATGTCCCAGAGTCGGAATCATAGCATTTGCAGACTTTCAAGATGGGAAAGACTTTCTTTCTCTTAGTACTATGCATTTTGGGTTCCTCCACGTCTTTTCATGGCTTGCAAGCTCATTTCTTTTAGCACTGTGTGATGTCCCATTGTTTGGATGTACCAGTTTGTTTGTTCGTTCATGTTAACAAGTGGCCAACTCACACATGGCATGCCGAACCACTCATCACCGAAGCATTAGAAAATCATCAGACCCAAGCACACTCCTTTCATGGAGGAATGATCCCAGAAGTGTCAGACTGTCCAGGGAGTCAGGGCCACAGACAGGAGGCAAGAGGTGAGGACCGAGAGTCACCGGGTCCTCATTTTAGACTTTAAGTTCACGTATGTTCTCCCAGACCACATAGCACCACTCACGTGCTTTTAAGCTTTAGGTAAGTAATGTCGTACCCAGCACATCACTTAGCAAAATGCTCTCTTTTATGGGGTGCTGCCTTCAAGGTTGTTCATGTTCATACATGACGCTCTGGTTACCCCGCAAGTTACACAGGATGGTATTCTGTGACTACGCCGCACTTGACAATTCTCCTAACCTACGAAAAGTTCCCAGAATCCTGGACTGTGGTTACCTCTAGGGAGAGAGCAGGGAATGGAATAGCGAGGGGTTCAACTGTATTTGTAATGTTTTATTTCTTTAAGCAAAACGGCTGAGGTCATTTGGGCAAAACATTAATTTGTAGGCACTTAGAGTCCCTCTGATACCAGGAGACTCAGCATGTCGCTGGGTCCTCTGCCAGGGTCTGGGATTTGGACAAGAAGAGGTCAACTTATCACTTGAAGAGATTGCTTAAAGGGATTACTTTTTTAAAATTTTTTTATCTTATTTATTACAACACATTTATTGAGATATAAATATCATAAAATTCATCCTTTTAAAGTATGTAATTCAAAGCTTTTCGTATATTCACAGATATGTATAACTTTAACCATCACCACCATCGTTCTAGAACATTTTCATCACTTCACAAAGAAACCCATACCCTTGAGCTATCACCCCATATCCTACTTCCCTATACCCCAGGTCCTAAGCAGCCGCCAGTCTACTTTCTGTCTGTAGGTTTCCCACTCTAGACATCTCACATGAGCGGAATCATGCACCACGTGGGCCTTTGTGCCTGGCTTCTCTCACTCAGCAATGTGTCTTCAAGGTTCATCATGCAGCAGCACCTATTGGAACTGCACCCCTTTTATGGCTGCAGATGTTCCGTTGTGGGATATTGGATGTGCTGTATTTGTTCGTTCATCCTTTGGTGGACATTTGGGTTGTTTCCACCTTTGGCTATTGTGACTAGTGCTGCAGTGAACATTTGTACAAGTTTTTGTCAGAACATATTTTTGATTCTTTTGCATAAAGAGCACTTTTTAGCACAGAAAAAAAACAGATTTGGGGCCTCACTTTTTGTGTGGCTAGTGCCTGGAGAAGAGCGAGCCTTGTGTGGCCGCCTCCAGAGCTCTGGTGTCCTGGGGAGTGCGAGGCTCGAGCAGCAGCACGCTGCAGGTGGGACAGTTGCATGGGCTCACGGAGAATCTCCCTCTTGTGCAGTTCGCCTCTACGGACCAAACTTCGAGCTTCAGGTTTACTCATCTCAGAGTAAGTCCTGGCACCCCGTGTGCCAGGATGACTGGAGCGGTGGGACAGTTGCATGGGCTCACGGAGAATCTCCCTCTTGTGCAGTTCGCCTCTACGGACCGAACTTCGAGCTTCAGGTTTACTCATCTCAGAGTAAGTCCTGGCACCCCGTGTGCCAGGATGACTGGAGCGAGAGCTACGGGAGAGTGGCCTGCAACGACATGGGCTACGGGTGAGTATGCACCACAGCCCAGGAGGGACGGCCCGCCCGAGTGATGGCAGCAGACAGCAGCCACTAAGAAAGGGTGCTGCACTCTGCCTCCCTGTGCACATGTGACATGCTCCCTGCCCCCTCCCACCTTGGCTTCTCTAGACTCCAGGTTACTCAGGACTGCCGGGTGCAGGGGTGCAGGCCGAGGGCATTGGTGGCTCTTTTCTTGAGGAGCCTGTGAGCCAGGGCTGGCCCATTGCTCCTCTCCACTCCCTGGTGGGGGCGGGGCCACAGGTGGGGAAAGCTGGGTTGAGGTCAGCAGGGGCAAATCCTGTGCAGTTTGCACTATGTTTGGGAGCCATTGAAGGCTCTTGAGCAGGGGAGAGAATCGATCATCAGATTTATACTTTAAAAAATTCATTCCTGCATGCAGCTCCTAGGGAAGGTGGGAAGGGTTGGACCATAGTGTCCCCTCCAGGTGATTCCTGGCCAGGGGCTGACCAGCATCGTTTGGGAAAACTTGGTGGCCCTCAGGCCTTGGGGAAAGGGTTGTATTATTTTATTGCCATTTTCTCTTCCATAGGGGTGTCCCCACATGATTCCTATGACAGTTTAGGGTGTCCTGTGTGCCCATTTTCAAATGAATTGCCACTTGATAAGGAAGTTGGCATCTAAGCTAGTGTCAATGGCTGTTTTTCTCATCTAGTTTGGGTTAGGATAAACACACCATGAAAAATAAGAAAGTATAAGTACATGTAATGTAACAAAATGTATAGATGTTAAAGTGTCCCCTGTTATAAAATTCCATTAGGTTCCTGAACTGCGATGGGGGCTTTACTATGTAATCCAAGCCTGAGGTTTAGAGATGGCATTGTGAAGTATTTCACTAGCTTAGATGCCAACTAAGATCAAAAAATGGTTATAATATAGTGTTGTTTGATTCGAACTAGTGATTTTATTTTCCAGAATGCTAAGGTTTTCCCTCTTACTCTGAACATCATAGAAGTGAGATATTATGACATACCATAGGATTTGTGATTGCTTATGACTTACTAAATAAGGGTTTCTGTCTTTTTTAGGAATAGTTTTTATTCTAGCCAAGGAATAGCAGATGACAGCGGGGCAACTAGCTTTTTGAAGCTGAACACAAGTGCTGGCAATGTTGATCTCTATAAAAGACTGTACCAGACGTAAGTGCGGATTTCTTTTTTCCTTTAAAAAATTCTGTAATGTGGACGATCAGGAGACACCGTGGGAAGTCACTGTCCTGAGCCTGATTTCTCTAAGCTGCCAGTCTGGGTTTGGAGATTAGAATCTGCCCAGGTCTGGTTACTGTAAGCAGCTCTTGGTTTATTCTCAGGACATAGCTAAGGTTTATTTATCATTTTGTTTTTGACTCTGACATCTGCCCTCGTTTGTACTGGAGAATATTATAAAATTGAAATCCACCTTTATTTTTCTTCTCTCTCCAAACATCTAGGGTTGTGTACCTCCTTGTGTCAGAGTATAGCACGGGGAATCCCAGAGACTATCTCAGGTTCCAAGTGGGATGCCCAACTCATCCTGGTTTGCTGGGAACTTTCCTGGTTTCAGCATCAAGTCCTGCTTCCCAGGAATCCTCTCTGTCCCAGGCAACCAGGATGGCTGGTCCTCTTGGCCCCGACCCGTGATCAGCAATGTCTGGTGATACTGCATGAGGGGTGGGCAGCGTTCTTGGGGCCTAGGAGTGAGTGGCTAGTTCAATCCAGCAAACGTTTTCTGCACATTAAAGCTGACTTTTGGCTAGGGGCAGGTCACAGAGTGTCCAGCCGTGATCAGCAATGTCTGGTGATACTGCATGAGGGGTGGGCAGCGTTCTTGGGGCCTAGGAGCGAGTGGCTAGTTCAATCCAGCAAACGTTTTCTGCACATTAAAGCTGACTTTTGGCTAGGGGCAGGTCACAGAGTGTCCAGCGGGTAGAAGTGAACTCAGCCAAGGGTCGCAGGATAGATGCTAGAAGGTGGGCTTAGAAGACTTACTTTGTTCTACATATGTTTAAAATGTTTGCATTCTTCCCAGGGGCATTGCTGTCATCTGAGTGTTTTCTGTTGTGAAAGTTGCACAGTGTCTTTTGCACATCAGCGTTCCCACCTCCTAGCTCCCTGTCACTCACCACAAGGTGGCTGGCCATCCCCGCCCTGCCTGCCAGGTGCCAGGTGCTACCTTTTGATAGAGGATGAACTAATCACCGGCCCCACCTTTCCTCTTAGTGGGAGGCTGGGGCGGGTATGCGTTCCTGGTGGCCGCTGGCTGAGGTGTCTGGGGGCGCTGATTTCCGGCAGCCACAGCCTGGCTGTCCTTGGGAATGTGACAGGGTGAGTCTAGTGTGGAGGGCTGTGCAGGGCCAGGTGTACCCATCAGAACAGTGGGGCTGTGGTTTGCCTGCCAGAGGAGCTAAACACAGCTGCCTGGGCTCTTTGTAAGTGCTGAGTGGTTCTTTGTCTTCCTGGGTTACTGAGCTGGTGGGAGCAGGGAGGGGAAGGCTGCCATCCCCTGGCAAGAGTCTTGGGAGCGCACAGGGCGCCGGAGGGTTGGAAGGTAGAAGAGCAGGTCATTGTCTGCTGCGTCCCGTGGCAGGGCGGGGACAGCCCTCCCTTCCCTCTCTGCATGCAGAAGCTGCCTTTGGTGCCTGGGTCTGTGGGCTGGGCCTCTGGCCAGGCTCCTGTGAGGAGTGCTACACGGTGTGCCCTATGTGTCTCTACAGACCTTCCAATTCTTAGGAAACATCTTCTCTTGAAGGAAATGTGTCTTTGCAGGCATAAGGAGTGCTACACGGTGTGCCCTATGTGTCTCTACAGACCTTCCAATTCTTAGGAAACATCTCTTGAAGGAAATGTGTCTTTGCAGGCATTGTCAGTGCCCCACAGCTAGAGGCCACCAACCAGGAGCACACCTGTGGCCACCGGGAAACCAGGGCATCTCAGGAGCAGGGTGCCAGGGGGCACTTACCGTGGGACCTGGGCTTGCTCTGGGTGGTTCTGGGGGGTTCAGAGCAGCAGGTTCTGCCCCGGGCTGGATACTGGTGGGAGCGGGGGCTTCCGTGGCTGGCCACCTTATTATCAGTTTTTCTAGAAGGTGGTGGGAATGAAGCCAAGCCTATGCTGTGACTGGTGAGGCAGCAGCAGTCCTCAAGTCAGCGGATGGGAGACGTGAGGGCGTGGTTCTGTGGTCAGGACCGGTTCCATTCTGTCTATCAGATATGATTTCGCAGCAGGCTGTGTATTGCTCCACCTCCATCACAGAGGGTCTGGTCTCATGCTGATGCTCATGGTCAGCAGACCCCGTGGCCTGGCCAGCGGTGCCGGCGGCTCTGTGTGTCAGGAGCAGCTTCTCACCTCCCTGGTATATGGGGGAAACATCACCATGCGACAGGATGCATCGACAAGTTATGTTTCCTCTGTCACCTGGAGTGTTTGACTCCCAAATGAGTAACTGTCATTTCTCCTCTGCTCCCAGGCAAATTATAGGTTTTGTTGCTTTTTATGCTGTAAGTGTAAAGCAGTTGCACGAACCCACACGTTTCCAAGTGGCTTCCTTACAAAATTAGAGGATGATTTTAAATTCCAAGAATAAAAAAAAACTAACATTATTGCATGCTACCGTCACAACTACCCTGTGAGTCGGTACAGTTACTGATAGGCACAGAGAGGTTAAGTGACTTGCCTAAGGTTACACGGCTGGGATTTGAGCCTGGTACTTTGTCTCAGTGTCTGCTCTTTGCCACTGTCCCCTATATAGATTCACTTACCTCATTTCAGTCTTAGAAGGGGACCTTCTACATCTGGGGAGACAGGACAGAGAAAATGAAGGAAAATATTCATTTCTAAGTATTTGAGTCAGGCGTCTCCTCATTTATTATAGTAATCGGAATTTCCCTTTGTCTTTTTTAGTGACTCCTGTCCTTCAAAAACAGTGGTTTCTTTACGCTGTATAGGTGAGTTCTGTCTTGATTTTTCATTTTATATTTCCAGCTAGGAAGCATTCCACACCCACAGACGAGTAATTCCCGGTGTCTCTGGACGATGTGGAGACAGGAGGATGGGGGCAGTGGCTGGTGCTGTCCAGGCTCTCGCTCGGTCCCAGCAGCTTCTCCTCTGAATGCCCATGTCCTGTGCTTCAAATGCCTCAGCCTGGACTCAGGGGTTTCCCACAGGCGACAGGCCACCTCAAGAAACTGAGACACCCTGTTCTTTGTGCCACCCTACTCACTCTCACCCCTCATACACCCACTCACCTCCCTCACCCCCTCCCTCACCCCCTCCCTCACCCCCTCCCTCACCCCCTCTCTTACCCCTCCCTCA